AAAATTATTAAAAAGATTAATTATCTTAAGGTCTTTATAAATAGAAAAAACTAAGGAATTAACTTTAATATTATCTTAATAAATAGTTTTAACTTAATACTTAAATACCTATAGCTATAATACTATAATCCTTATATTAACTAGAGAACTAGCTAGATAAACTATAAAGATTATCCTTTAGATAATAAGTTAGATAATTTAAAAAATAATAATAAAAGATCTTAAACTTTAACTAAAGAAGATAGTAAAGTCTGGCATAAAGAACATTTACCTATTCTAAAAGGAATATAATATATATATAAAAAAGGCAGAAGAAAATATATTAGAAGAATAATAGCAATCCTTAAAGGTTAATTTAGATAATTAAACTAAGATATTAAATAAATAAAACAAATTACCTTAAAAAAATCTAATAATTAACTTAAGAATATATTACTAGAGTATTATATTTATAAGAAATTATTTTAAGAAGAACTAGATATTAAGTTACCTTAATATATAAATTATAATATTAAAATTATATTAAAAGATAAAAAGAACTTAAAATTCTTCCTTATTTATAACCTATTTAGAGATAAGCTTAATATACTTAAGGAATAAATAAATAATATATTATAAAAAGGATATATCTAACTATTAAAATCCTTAGCTAGATATTTAGTTATATTTATACTAAAACCTAATATAAATAAACTATAACTTATAATAAATTATAGATAACTTAATAAAATTATAGAAAAGGACTAAATACCCTTACCCCTTATTACTAAACTTAAGGACTGCCTATTTAGCAAAAAGGTATTTATAGCTCTTAACCTTAAATCTGCCTATAACCTTATTTAAATTAAAGAAAGTAATAAGTAGAAAATAGCCTTTAAAATAAAATATAGACTATTTAAATATTTAGTTATGCCCTTTAGATTAATTAATATACCTATAGTATTTTAATATATAATTATAAATATACTTTAAGAATACCTTAATATCTTTATAATATACTACCTAGATAATATCCTTATCTTCTTTAATATAAAAGAAGAATATAAAGAACATATCTATAAGGTTTTAAAAGCATTATAAAATACTAATATACTTATTAAACTAATAAAAAGTTACTTTTATTAATCTTAAGTAACTTACTTAAGATATAAAATCTTATATAATAAAATTAGGATAAATAGATAAAAGATTATTATAATTACTAAATAGAAAATCTTTATATTAATAAAGGAAATATAATCCTTTTAAGGATTTATAAATTACTATTAATAATTTATTAAAAGCTTTAGCAAAATTACTATCCCTCTTATTAAAATTATAAAAAAGGATAAATAATTTTAATAAAGTAACTAAGTATAATAAGCCTTTAAATAGCTTAAGAAAGCCATTACTAGTAAACCTATTTTAGTAATATTTAACCTAAACTAATAAGTTAAACTTAAAATTAATACTTCTAACTTTACTTTAAGAAGATAAATAAGATAATAAAATAATAATAATATATTATACCCTATTACTTTTTACTTTTATAAGATATATAAAGTAAAACTTAACTATCTTATTTATAATAAAGAATTCTTAATTATTATTAATTACTTTAAGGAATTTAAATACTACCTTAAAGGAAGTAAATACCTAATAAAAGTATTTACTAACTATAAGAATATAGCTTACTTTATAATAATATAAAAGCTAAACTAATAATAATTATAATATACTAAATACCTATATAAATTTAATTTTATAATTATATATTATAAAGGCATAAATAATAAATATATAAATACTATTAGTAAATAACTTAATCTTAATATAAGAACTATTAAAACTAAGGAATAACTTTTAAAGCTTAATCTAGAGGGAAAATACTAGTTTACCTAACTAGTTAAGATAATTATAAGAATAATTAAGAAACTAATACCCTTACTAAAATACTAAGTACTACTATATTAAAATAGAGAATAAGACTTTATTAATTAGCTTAGAGGATTATATTATAATTAATAAAGTAATATAACTTACTTTAAAGGAAAAATCAAGATTCCTAGTAAGTATATAATAGAAATCTTTAACTACTACTATAATTAAATACTATATAATAGAGACTATATTAAAATATAAAATACTATAAATAAAATTTATAATAGCATAAACTTAGAAAGCTATATTTAAAATTTAATAGCTAACTATAAGAAATGCAAACTAACTAAAACTATTACCTAAATATAAAAAAGTAAAAAGCTTAAAGAATAAATAAAAGAAGCTAAGGCCAGAAAACCTTATAACCTATAAGAAATAACCTTTAGTAATAGAAAAAGAGTATTATATATACTATTTATCCTAAATAAGCTTAAAAAAGAATTAATATAAGATATATATAAATATCCCCTATATAGCCATTAAGGCATTATAAAAATATTAAAAAGGATATAAGAAAAATATAATATAAAGGGAATAAAGGAAATAGTAAAGAAGGTTATCTAATAATGCAATCTCTGCCTAAAAATAAAGGCTTAAAGGCATAAACCTTATAAATAATTATAACCACTACTAGTAGTATAATAACCTTAAGATTTAATTATAATAGACTTTATAACTAAGTTACCTTTATTAGAAAAACCCTTAACTAGAATCTTTTATAATAGTATTATAATTATTATAAATTAGCTTATAAAATTTTCCTATTACCTACCCTATAGGGAAGTAATAAATATAAAAGAACTTTCTTATGTTTTTTATTAATATATTATTAGTATATATAGGTTACCTATAGAAATCCTTTTAGATAAAGGACCTATATTTATAATAACATTTTAGTAATTACTTATAGTATAACTTAAACTAAATTACTAACTTATAATAGCATTTTAACTGCAAGTTAATAAATAAACTAAATAAATAAACTAAATACTTAAATAGTACTTATAATATTATATTAACTATAAATAAAATAATTAGGTTAAGAAACTACTAATAGCCTAACTTACCTATAATACTATATATAATAAAAGCATAAAGCTTATACTAGCTTATATTAACTTTAGATTTATATTAAATATATATTATAATATATAATAGGAAAAATCAATTAACCTAGCTACTATACTTAAAAGTAATAACCTTAAAAACCTATATAAAGAAATAAAAATAAAACTTAAATTTATTAAAAAATATATAAAAAACTACTATAACCTAAAATAGTTAAAGGGACTAACCTTTTTAAAAGGAGATATAGTCTACCTAGCTATAAAAAACATTAAAATAGATTAACTAAATTACAAATTAGACTATAAATTTATTAGACCTTATAAGGTACTATAAAAAATCTTAGAAAATAACTATAAACTAGACCTACTATAGAAAGTTAAGCTTTATCTAGTCTTTTATATTTTACTACTTAAATTAATAGCTAATATAATATAAGTAAAAATCAGCAATAAACTAAATAAAATCACAAAACTAGAAATCTATAAAGCAGAAATAATAAAAAAAACATAACTAGAAAATAAAAAATAAGAATACTTAATTAAATAGAAAAACTATTTAAAAAGTAAAAATACTTAGGAATTATTAAAATATCTTACTAATACCTAATAACTCCTAAAGAACTTTTATTAATAATGCTAATAGAAAAAATCTTACCTTAGTTAATAATATTAAAAGCGCCTGCTAATTAAGCCTTAATAGTAGTAAATAACTTAGCATTATTAGCTACTTTTAAATTATTTATAGTTTTAATATTATAATAAAGTATCTCTTTACTATACTCTTATAACTGCCTCTTTTAATAATAAAGACATATTAAATAACTTAATTATTTATTTACTTACTGCTATAAGTTTATTAATTTAGTCTTAGCTAACTCCTCCTTATGCTTTAATTAATACTTCTTAATAATAAAATAATTAGCTAAAATAAATTAATAATAAAAATTATATATTAAGAAAAATTATAAACCTTTAAAAATAGTAATACCTTTACTATTATACTTATAACTATAATAAGTATATTATATATAATACTTATAACCCTCCTTAGCCTAATACTTTAAGTTTTAAGGTTTATAATAACTATAAGGTATAATAAGAAAACTAGTATTTTTAATTAAAATCGCTTATGCTTTTTAATTATAAGTAGCTTTTAACTTTAATATCTTATTAATATAATATTAAAAGGATAATTATAAGTTTAAGTTAAACTTATTAAAAAAAAGATAATTAAAATAAGAGTTATATAGGTCTTAAGGATAAGACTTAATAGAGGGGAGATATTATATTATAATCCTTATAGTTATATTATATAAAACTTATAAATTTCCCTTAATTAATTAATAACTTATACTTTCTCCTTATTTCTATTATAAGCTATTTAATAAGACTTATAATTAGACTTATAACTTATATATAAGTATTAACTTATTATAGTAAGTTATTATAAATATATAGAATATATTTATTAGTACTTTTATAAATTCTAGCTTACTAGCTATTAATATAACTTCTTTATATTAATTAAGCTTAACACGCATTAAATCTACTATTAAGAGATATAACACTTAAATAACGCTTAGTTTACGCCCTATATAACCTGCCAACAATAAACCCAGCACGGCTTAGTTTAACATAGTTAGACCTAACTATTACAATTAGGATTACTAACTATATAATTAAAAGCTAAATAAAAAAATTAAAAAAATAATAATATTAAGTTAGTATTTTTATTTTATTTTAACTTAATTAATAATAGCTAAAAGCTAGTTTAAATTATATATAAGTTAAATTATATATATTTAATAGCTTTATAAATAAATACTTATTAACTATTAAAGTATTAACTTATTAATTAAGCTTTTATATTTTATTAAAAAGCAAGGTTTAAATTATTAGGAAATTTATGTTTTTCTTATAAGGAAAACTTATTAATATATTCCTAACTGTTAATACTATAAAATTAACTATAAAAGCTTTTAAATAAAGAGACTTAAAAATTATAAATACTTACCACTTAATACACCAGGGCGGGCTTTTATCTAGCTATAATTAATAATATTATATAGATAAATTAAGCATTTTTAGTCAGATTAGAAATAAATCCATTTCTTCATTTTGAAATAACAGGGCTTCAATTAATAACAAGACCTCTCTCTTAAGTTTTAATAAAAAAAGAAATTAATGACACTGGGACTCGAACCGAGGAAGATTGCTCCTAGTAGGACCTCTATAGTTCCCACTAAACCAGCTGTTTCGGAGTCAATTGACGTTAAGGCTCTTGTCACTATTGGACTCCAATATAAATGAATGGGGCCCAGAACCTAGGATGTGAGTAGTCTTTTACTCGCTCCTGCGCTTTTTGAGGGGCTATTGATCTTTTGTCGACGCTAATGGAGGCTCCCTCTCGAATGTCTCGAGTATATTGGTATATTTTCTCCGTCGTTAGGTTCCTAGCTGCCAGCTGAGCCTCTCTGAGTGCTACCGAGCCTTGCTTGCTTCTCTGCAGCTGTTGGTAGAATTCCCTCATGAGAATGCTGGTCACCAGGTCATGTACTGGCCAGAGGCTAACGACAATTGCCTGCACACCAGCTGCCAACAAAGAGCGAGCAAACCCCACCATGTCGTCTCCGTCGGTCGGCTCTCCCACGCCAGTATCGCATGCGCTGAGGACCACGAGGGATGCCTTGAGACGCCGACCCAGGAGCTCGCCCACGGTGAGCTGTTTGCCCTCTGCAAGGGCCACAGATGACATCATGGGCACCTCGGGGCATAGCAGCCCATGCGTTGCGAAGTGCAGTATGTCAAAGTCTCCCATCATGCCTATTACAGCATCCTTGGTGGCTTCTGGGCCGATGAGGGACCTGCTTGCGGCATTGACCTGGCCGACGGTTCTCGCCTCGGCCTCAGCAAACCCCAACGGCGCAAGGCTATGCTTGGCCCCTGAGAGGACGTCCTCATACTCCATATTAGAGGGGTTGCCAATAGAGAGCACCCTAAACCCCACCTTGTCGTCGCTTGCTGTTTGGAGATATGACATACAGCTCGCGCTAGGCAGGTATGCCACCGAGTGCAATGCTAGCAGTGGACCCCCTTTGAACGGCAAAGCGTGGAAAGGAAGAGTGTGTAAGGCTCGGTAGGGAACGATGATGAAATGGAATTTGTCCATCGAGGCCTCGAACGGGAAAAGAAGGTCCGCAAGCCACTGCCCGTCTGTGGAGCGAGACTCTTTCAACTCTACATCTGGTGATGCTGCCCGTCGGCACTGCTCTTGGAATCTCGTCGCGCGAAGCTCTAGTTCGAATTCGGAGACGGAGCGGTGATAAACCTCGACTATGCCGTCCGTAGTGATTGCCCATGCGACGAGGTCATCGCCACGGTACGAATATTCAAGGATAACAGAATCCTCGTCGAGCTGCGACCGGAGAGTGCCAATGTCGCTTACGTCACTTGGAGTGACGAAGCGCCGGGCCATAGGGGACTCGTCAGCGAAGAGGCGTTCTTCTTGTTGGTGCAATCTCGCTTCCGTTTTGGATATATCTGCTTCTAGCGTCCTGATCCTGTCCCTGTCGAGGGTTTCTGCTGCGTAGTTCTGCCGGAGAATGCCTCGCTTGGCAGCAAGAGACGCGCCTATCCGTCTGTATTCGTCCCACACGGCAAGTTCAGGTGTTGCAAATCGGCCATACATCAACGACCCAGCGGCCATCAGGTCAAGAAGACTGCGAGTCTTTCCCCTCTCGAGTGTTCGAAAGGCATCTGACAACTGCTGCGACTGTGTGGACACGGAAACCGTGTCGCGGAGCAGGCTGTAATGCCACTTGACAGCGGTCCTGGCGGCCTTGAAATACAGCCCCTGAAGCCGAGAACTGCCAGCGAGAGACAACTTGTACTCGTCAAGTGACAGCCGCCCACGCCTATCCTCGAATATCTGTATAGCTTGTTGGTAGAGTTTCCATGCAGGTGCGAAATTCTCTAGACCCTCGTTTACTTGGGCGGCGGCTGTTAGATTGGCAACTGCGTCACCCACCTTCCACCAGTCATGACCGCGTATTTGCAGAAGCACGTCAAGTATCTCTCGGGCCTCGTCAAACTTTTTGATGCCTGCAAAACCTGGGAATGTCTGCGCGTAAATCTCAGCCGACTGCTGTCCAAGGAACTGCTGCACATCTGGCGCAGATTGGCGGGCACGCCGAGCCGACTCCTCTGCCTTTCTCAGTCTCGATTTGCAGTAGGCATGTAAGTGTGAGGCTGAGTTGTCGTACTGTTTACGAGCTGCTGTGACTGCTGCCAGCAGAAGCTTCCCCATGTGCGGGTCCTCGCTCTGTTGTGCCTTGACCTCAGCTTGGTCCCAGAAGTCTTGGGCTTTGCTCATATCGCCGTGTCTCCGGGCACGTTTTGCCCGGAACATGAGCTCCTGGAACTCGGCTGCCTGGGTAAGTGACTCTGTGTTCTGTACTGACACGACTTCTCCGACCAAGTTGACGTCCAAGTCATCCATGGCGGGAAATGAGGACGGGTCAGAAATAGCCAGGTCTAGTTTGCTGATTATCTGGCTAAGCGCATCTGCTGTGGCCAAGGGATGGGCTGACTGATGAGGCTGCCGAGGATGTATCAGCCGGAGCCTTGAAACCGCGCTCGCTATCTGGTCCGCGTCCTCTCGTTCTATGGCCCGGCGCACCATACGGTCCAAGATGTGGGCTGCTCGCGTCCTGGCCCAGGAGGCAAGCGAAGGTGAACCGGCCGTTTCGAATAGCGCTGTATACACCTTCAGCGCTCGCTCGGCTGTAATTACAAACCGGTCATGCTCTCCAAGCATGTCGTGGACCAACATCTGGTCCCCAATGGTCGCCGTGAAAGACCGCGGCAATCCCAGGCCGTCAAACAGGGCCTCAGCCAGTCGCAACGCTGCCACGCCCCGCTCATACTCGCCCTCGCTGGCTATCCAGAGTTGCGCCTGTGCGGCCAGGAAGAGACCAAGTCCCATCGTGTAGCTGATGCTGCCCTTTGTTCGACCCCAAACCCCGATTTCCCTTGCCGATGTTGTATCCTCTGGACGCTGCCCAAGAGCGACGCGGACCAAGATTGAATGTGCGCGAGCTGTCTGAAACGCAACAATGTCACCGCAGGCTGCAAACTGGCTTTGCGCCTCAGTACAATATCGCAAGGCCTCCTGGAGGTGCCGCAATATTTCATCACCGGTGGTATTGCGTGCTCGCAATATCGCTATATAGCCGTGGCGCAGCTCTACCGAAGCGAATCCACGCCAGAAACCAGCTTGCTCAAAAAAAGAACGTGCGATTTCGTAGTGACGAACCGCCTTGTCGATTTGGTCAGGAGTAACAGGCAGTTCAGAGAAGCCCGAGAGCGGCTCGGACACGGTGCTGTCCAGGCCAGGACGAACTGTATTGCCCCAGTACTCTGGCGGTCCGGCCGGGGCGCAAACAAGATCGCCGAGTTTCACTTCACAGTGCGCTATTCCTACAATATCGCCGACGCGAGAGTATTCATGCCGCAGCTGGAGTACCATGGCTTCGGCATGGGACGCTGAGCGCGACGCTCGTCGATGGAGGCCAGCCATCTCTAGCAGCAGCGGAGCAGTGGTTTGGAATGGCACTCCGGATGAGGCGAGATACTCTATGTCCCATTCAAGCTTCTGTACTGTCTGTAGCTGTTGCGAACTTCCTATGGGGTGAGAAACAGCAGCGCGTTGCTGCTCGAGGAGGCGCCGCACCTGACATGCGGCAGACCAGCCAACAGACTGCTCCACCCTAATGATCCGGTTCACCCAGAACGGTAGTGCTTTCTGTAGGTCGTAGAGGGGATCCATTTCGTCGGCCGGTACTGTTTGGGAGCCCGCCGCCCAATAATACGTAAGGAACAGACAATGAAGACCGTAGCATAGCGTGAGGAGATAGAGCCCCGGGTCGTCACATGATATGCCTGCTGCATTTTTGAAGTACCCAAAGGCCGCCAGTGTCTCACCCTGGAGTAGGCAGGCAATGCCACATTCAAGAAAGGCTCGCGCTTTGCTGGCAGACGTCTGGACGGGATCGAACCGATGGAGATGCGCCTCTGCCGAAGCCTTGTTGTGGCCAAGATCGCTCAGTGGTAATGCCCGATGCGTAAATGAAGCCGACAAGTCCTTTGCCAGTATGGAGACGACGCCAGCAGAGGCGCCTGGATGGTATGGGTTGAACATGGTGGAATCCATAAGGAAGTTGTAAATGTCGGCTGCGAACACTTGGTGGTGTAAGCATGGGTTTGCCTGGGACGCTAAGATGAGACGACATCTTTGTTTTCAATCTAGACTTCAGAGTGGCCCCACTCTATTTCCTCAGCAACATTATTAGTACGGGAAAGCTTTCGTTAGTCTTGACGATGTCCGTCAGATCTAACAGCAAAGCTTGTGATGAAAACGTCAGCCAGCCACTTGTGCCGTTCTAGACCCAAGCTGGCTATTCCACGACTTGTCGCAACGAGGAGCGATTTAGGATTCGGGTTTATGTCAGCGGGGAGGGAGACTATGATGGCATAGTGACATGATGGCATAGAGATGTGATTCCTTGCTATGCTCCTCCGAGCTATATTATGATGGGTCTCTATTATGATTCTTAAAGACGGACATCAGGCAGACGCCTCTTGAATCTTTTTTTACGACAGCAACGACACATTTCATTTGAAATGGCGCAAAACCAAGATCCATTCAGCTTACAGTTTGGCCCGATGATTCCGGCGGGTTCTGTAACCTCTCAACCAGACGAGGTGGCACCCGCACTCCCTCCACGCCCGAAGCGTCGGCCGGTAAATGCTGCTACCTCTCAGCCCCCGGGCGACCCCAGTCCGCCACCCTTAGTAACTCAAAGCTCTCAATTCGGGGGGCGGGGGATTAACCCACCAAATCCATTGCCATCGTTTGCAACACCCAACTTTAATGGCGCCGCTCCTGGCTATGGCGCTGTTTCCCCCGCATTCTCCGCACAGGTAGCTGCGAGGCCTCTTGAAGGCCAGCTTAACCAGGTGGTTGTCAATGGAGTTAAACTTGGACAAGCAGACCTGCTTGCCCTCCAGGCCGTAGTTGGTCCTATTTTGCCTGGGTCTTACTGGTCAGTATTACTACCCCTTGTTTTGGGTTGGGATTTGGTTGAGAAACATTAAATAGGTACGACCGCGTCAGCGGAGCATATGGCATGGCCGGAGGGCCTTGCAACGGTTTCCTTTCGGCGAACCTGTCTCTAGGCGGCGGGCCACTCGCCTCAGACGCCTCGGGATGCACCGGTACCCGAGTCTTCATTAACGGCCGCGAGATACACACCATCGATGTCATGGGCCTGCAGAGAATGGGAGCAGTTGTGATGCAAGGCCGCTGGTGGCTCAATGCAGATGGGAGTTACGGCCCTGAGGGAAGCTTTGTTATTCTCGGTAAATTGAGGCTGCAGGCTAATGCTGCGAACAATGCTGGGGGAGCCCACAGCTGGTCGACGGGAATGGGTCATTATGGTGGCAGTGACGGTCAGGGATTCAGCTATGTCGGAGGTCCTGGATGGTCGTGGAGCAGCGGCTGATTGTTGGCACTCTAACCATCTCCAATCAGACTGTCAACCCCCACTCATATTCTAAAAATGGAAAGGAACATGATTTGAGTAGAAGCCCATCAATCTATTTCCTGTGACATAGCTGATCGATAAGCGGGGTTGCTTGTTCCAGTTCCTTGAGATGTAATAGGACCACACAGCCTATCTCTTTAAGTGGCACAAGACTACAGCGGGGTCACGACAGGGGTGTAGGACCTATCAAAATGAGCGCTACTTGAAGTACATTCGCACGCACCTAATTTTGCGTGTGATAGAAGTACCAGCAGTCAGCCGAGTTACAAATAGCTACCTCACAGACTTTACAACCGTATCGGGTCTGTACCCTTCGTTCATTTCCTGATATCGGCTGTAGATAACCTCCTTTTTCCTTCCTTTTTTTGAAGGGTCGAGGCTGCCCTTGCCGGCAGCCTTTGCAAGCTAGGCAGTCAGAAGGCATGCCTCGATAGACATGATTGATATCTCTTTATAGGTGAATTTGCCGTGCTTTAATATCTTCGGCGTCTTCCTCCTTCCCTATATAGCATCTCTTCCTTATGTAACTCTCGGTCCCGTATCTGTTAAAAATGGCGTTATAAATAGCCTCTTTCTAAGCTTTAAGCGTGCTATAGGGCTTCCAATAAGGCTGCCGTGTTTTCTTCTGTAAAATGAAGCTATTCGCAAGTGCGACTTCAAGGAGGAAAGACCAAAGCAATGCCTGCTAAGGACTGCGGCGGAATCGATGTTAATATGTTATATAGGACCTTATCTGATCGCCGCGATCAACGTGATTTATTTCATCGTTATACTGAGCGGCAATAGTAGGAATAGGGATCATCTTGAAGCTATTACTATTGAAGACCTGCTGCAGGCGTTGTGCCTCTGCCTTTGTGCCTCTTTTGGCAGGCTTTTTCCTCTTTTTTGGTGTGCGCTCGTGAGGGGCTCCGCTGAGCACAGTTGAAAGGAAGAGCACGATACTGCTATCTTTCCAAGCGATTTGGATGACCTAGGGAGAAAGGAAATAGATAGATTAGTAAGGGAAATACAGGTAAAGCTATCTATACCTGTTTATCTTGTATTGGGATCAAATATACCTCGTTATATTGCAAAGCTATGCCATTAGGAGCTCTTCCGGTCTCTTTTATCTACTTCATCTCAGTGCTGATGCCGCAGTTAGGGCGTGCCGTGCCTGTGGCACCGTGGCCAAGCTGCCGAAGAAGGCGGAAGAGCTGCGGCGATGAGAAGAGGTTATCTGTAAAGACATGATGTGTCTGCGTTGACAGCCTTTTTAGTAGGTGAACTACGGCGCTTTGTGTATTATTGAGAGGAATCTCGGTCTATAGCTTTCCCTTCTTGCCGTATGGCGTTGGTGTAGGTAGCTCGACTGTAATAGCCTTATATGGTGATGCCTTTACATGCCAAAGCCACTGCAGAAAGTAGCCCTGTTGCGCAATAACCCAGACTTTGAACCCTAGCGGCGTAGGCTTATTCTTGACGACTGTTGTCTCTTTTGATCTGCCTGTAAAAGGGACCATACACTTATCTACAGTCAGATTAGTCCCTGGAGAATAGAGCTCGATAGACACCCTTTGTATATGATTGGACTACTCTTCAGCTGCTTGGAAGGTCTTTGGAAGATCACCCTCATCGCTCACATCGAGCTTGGTATAGTCAAAAGTGCGGAAATACCTTGTGATTAGCTGGAACTTCTGTAACGGCATAAACTTGGTAAATGAATGAAGAGGGCGCTGATCTCCTAGGCTAGGGGACTTCTAATGGTCTGTGATCGATATTTCCCTATGAATTTGCAGGTAAATAAGGACCCCAAGCCATATATAAGCTGTTAAAGTGGAGATGCCTTCCCACTTGAGGATGCGGGACTGTTTGCAAAGAGGGGTATTCCAGTTATCAATAACTGCATTTTCGAGTAAATAAGCGACCTAGCTGTTGGTATATTTAATCTATAACTGCATAAGGGAAATAGGTACGAAAAGCTGGAATAATTCAAGTGGTTGCTGGGGTAGAGGGTTAATCTGAAAATCACGATATTTGATGTTAAAAGGTTGAAAATCATCACCGCGGCCCTCTTCGGCCGGAAAATCAGGCACGCCGGTGGGGTCATTAGCTGCCCTCAAAGGCAGGGTATCAAAGCTGTGATCATCTATGAATTCAGGTATCTTTGGAGAGCTCATTGTTTTATTTGAGACTTGCTAGGGGTGATTTGTATGAGGATTTAGGTGCTTTGAATGAAGAAGCTGTCTGACGAGAACTTCACGTACCCCGCAGGTACTAGCGGGGTTAGTAAGCAAAGTGGGGCGAGTGACCTGCTGTAGTCTTGTGCCACTCAAAGAGATAGAGTGGAAAAAACGCCGCGAACTAATAAGTAGTATATCTATTTGCATGCTAAAAATAAAAAAATAAAAAATAAAAAATATTCTTTAAAAGATAATTTAGTTTTAAAATAATTTAATAATTTAAATTTAATTTATAAATTATAACTTTTTATAAATTTAATTTTAGGTTTATTTATTAAGTATAAAGTATAAAGAGTATATTAGCCTTAATATTAAATTATAATATAAGTTACTATAAATATTTAGCTAGTAAGAATAAAAAAGGCTAAATAAAGACTTTAAATTAACTCTTAAACATTTTTAAAACTTTAAAAATAACTAAAGTATAATAAACCTTTTTTCCCCTATTACTTAAATTAGCCTCTAACTTTTAAAGTTATAAGAGCTTTTATATCTTTAGGTATTAATAAGGATATAATAATTAAGACCTTTAGTAGCTAAATTAAACTTTCTAGCCCTTCCTCCGTAAAAGTGCGGCCTATATTTAGATGTAACACATCCTTATTATGTATATTATGTCTTTTTGCGTTTCCCAAATGTGGAGCACTTGTGACGTCAAGATGATGAGTCTAATACTAGCACTGCTATAGACATGTGAAAGGGGGTCAAGAGGTGGGCAGGCTTGGAGCATCAATAGGTCTATACTTGGAAAATCACTTAAAATAATTAACAGCAAGAAGAATAGCACTCTATTTATTATGTTGAGCGCATTCCTTTAGCAACACGCTTTCCATGTAATTAACTGCTGTGTTCCAACCGGAATTTCATTATTCAAAATGGCTCCCAACCAACCACAGTATCCCAAATCTCGCGCTCTCCTCATCGGGTCCGCCGTCGCTCCATTGATGGGCCCTGCACGAGATCTCCACGTGATGGAAGAAGTCCTAAAACTCTACGGGTTTTCAGTCACCAAATGTTCCAAGCCTAGCGACGGCGTATACCTAGCAAACAGAGCAGGCATTATCTCTGCTTGGAAGGCTCTCATTAACCAAACCGGGCCTTCGGATGCGGTGGTCATTTATTACTCCGGCCATGGTGGCCTCACGGAAGCTGAGGGATCTGAAGCCGGCAGGGGGGAGCGCAGGATGCAGTATATCGTTCCCCTCGACTTTGCTGAGACGGTGGATGGGGACTGGAGAGGGATATCCGATGCAGAGATGGCCGATCTCATATACCAGACCACACAAAAAACTCAAAACGTCACCATAATTCTCGACTGCTGCCACTCGGCGCACATGGCGAGGGGGCCGACATGGGCCAAGGCGATCAATCCAGATGATTACCGCCAGGTCATGTCACATATCAGAAGGATGCTAGAAGGGATGGCATCCAAACACGCATTCCACTATGAGCGCAACCCCCATGTCTTGTCGATTGTGGCGGCGGGCACGTCAGAACCCGCCTATGAGAGGCGTTTCCTTGACGGCGAGCGCATGGGCGTTTTGACCGAGGCCCTCACGCAGACGCTGCGGTCTGCTGTGGGCGCCGAGCTTTCGTGGCGTGATATCATGCGCCGAGTCCGTGACCGTATGTGCAGGACTTGCCCGGAACAGTACCCCAACATTGAAGGACCACAAGCCCGCTTGCCGTTCCGGCTCGAGACCGCCAAGGGTGGCGGGGACATGGCATTCTCAGTGACGGAAACCGCCCCGGGTGAGTTTGCGCTCAAGGGTGGCGTACTGCACGGCTTATCACCCGGGGATGTCCTAGCCGTGATGCCGTTTGAGGAAGGATACCTGGTGCAAGACAAGATGCTTGCTGAGGCTGAGGTGACAGGCGTCGGACCCATCGCGTCACGGGTCCGGATGAAGTGGAGACATGGACGGTCTGGAGGATTGACCCCTGGCGCCAAAGCGTTCATGTGGAAGTCGTCAGTCCTGCTTCCCGTCAATTCTTTTGGACCAGAGGATTGGACGCGCGAGCTCAGGGAAGAGTTGCGGTCTTCGGCGTTCATCCGTCTGGCCGACACCGGCGAGGAAAGCGAGAGTATAGGTGCGGTTGAGCTAATCGATAGCCATCTGGTAATACGGCATCACCAACACTACCTAGTTCGAGAGTGGGACATGTGTGGGAACGAGAATCGCCACTGTGTCCTTGCAAAATGCGTTCGCGTGTTGGAATCTTTGGCCCGAGCGCAGCGTTTCCTCGACATGAGGAACGATGCTTCTTCCGAGCTCCTCGAGCTGGCGCTTAGTCATGAAATTGGATACGTTAAAGACGGCTTGCCTGTATCTTACCCTGGACGGGGCGTGACACTCGTTGAAGACACCAGAATATACATCTCTGTGACTAACACAGGCACCTTCACCTTGTACGTATCCATGTTCGACATCTGCGCTGACTCGGTGACGTTGCTTTCAAACGGATCACCAAGTGGCATCGAGTTACTCCCAGGGAAGATGTATCGTTTTGGCGAAGTCGACATTACCCGGGAACTGCGTGGTTCGGTTGTTGGCTGGCCGGCTGATGTTCCAAAAGCCGAATCAATCCCAGAAACCATCGCCCTCGTCGTAACCTACGACAAAATTGACCTCCGAAACCTCGAGACGGGACCTGAGTCCGCCGGGCGGGAAAGGAGCCGGGCGTGGGGGCTGGGCACATGGCTAACGCATCTCGTAGACTCGATAGCATTCGGCGACCTACGCAATGTCCAAGCAGAAAGACAAGTGTACCAACACATGCCTTATCGGGTGGTTAACATTCCATGCCAGTTAACACCACGTTTCCCGAGCAAAGGATGTTGACACAAGATGCCCCGTCATAGTGAGACTTGGAGAATCTTAAAACCGAGGGAGGGTGACTACTAGCTTTCTGAGATGCAGACTTATATTAAGGCAGGTATAGTTAATTTAAGCCTTATACGATATAAAGTCCTGTTATTGAAATTAATATTTAAAATTAAAATACCTTAAGTTACTCCTTATTAAGCCAATTAGTTTAATATTTAAATATTAAATAGTATAAATAATAAATTAATTAATTAAATAAGTAAACTAGCTAGTATATTATATAATAAAAAGTGGCTTACTTTATAATATTTTAAATTTTAAATAAAATAGCTAATAATTTAGAAATATTATTTCTTAAAATAATATATATAATTATATTTAAAGTTATTTATTAAAGATTTCTAGCTATTTATTTTATATAAAAACCCCTAATTTATACTATTGCTTTTTTACTAACTTTACTATTAATTTTATATATAAAGTTTAAATAAGTTATATACTCTATTATATAATTTAATTAATTTAAGGCCTTTTAACTTTTATTATTAAACTTATATATTTTTTTATATAGCTTTTAACTATATAAAATAGCCTCTAGCTTTTAACTGTTTTCTTAAAAGTTTAAATAGTATAACCTCTATCTAGGCTGTTATATTAATAAGTTGTATATTACTATAAGGTTTAGCTACCTCAATGGCGTAATTGCTGCTTTAATAAAGCAGTATAAATACTAGTTATCTCTTAGCAGCTAGCCTTATAACCTTCTTCCTTTAACTGACCTGGAAAGCAAGCTTCTATTATTTATTACACTTCCACAGTAAGTAGACCACGAGAGCGCAAAGGTTATACAGATAAACGCAGGGTAATTGCGCAGGGTTGGGAGGAATTATATTAAATTTTATATAAGTTTAGTATAAAGGCCGACTGGAGACTTTCCGCGTGGGTTAAAGGAAGAAGGTTGTAGGGCTAGCTGCTGAGAGGTAATGGATCTTCAGTTGGTCTTTATACTGCTTAATTAAGGCATTAATTACACTACTAAGGCAGCTAAACCTTATAATAATATATAATTATTAATATAAGAGCCTAGATAGAGGTTATATTATTTAAACTTTTAAGAAAAAAAGTTAAAAGCTAAATAAAATAAAACAAAGTTATTATTTTAATTTTTATAATTTTAATTTTTATTATAATTATAATTTAATAATAATACTTTATATTATAAGATATAATTAGTAAATTTTATAATATCTTATAAAGCTATAGAATTCTTCTCTTAAATCATAGGAATATATCTATTATTACTGCTAGGTAAAGTCAAATCATAATAAGAGATGGTTAAAATCGTGTCTACATCCCAGTCCTGAATTAGAATGGGCCAAGGATTCAGAAAGGGGGAAAACCTTTAGGCCATAACTCCCTATTTTTCACATGTCAAAACCGGGTCTATCCAGCGGTTATTCTGACTTTCTAATTGGTCCGATTTGCTATCGCACAGTCGATATTATTATGCCTCTGGTGTAGCTTTTTAGCGTGTAGCTTGCTGGCACCTAATTGGCTAGAATAAGGAGGGTTCCTTTTCGTAAAGGTGCCATTTATGAGTTTTAAAGCCGGCGAGCCCCGAATAGCCTCAGCATTCCCAGGACCCTCATACAGGAAAACCCAGTAAAATATCGTATTTCAAGTAAATCAAGTTCAGGGCATTACAGACTTACTTACTTGAAACATATTGGGCTGTCAACTTACTTGACTTACTTGACTTCATACTTGAATTGAGGTCAGCACTGCTGTTTAGGTACTACCTTAATTGCATCTAGTTAGTTTGAGCTAGACTTTAGTTCTGCTTGCAGCTTCGGAAGAAGCCATGTCACCTTCTTGCGCCCATCAACATCTATGGATTAGCTTTATTTAGCCAGTATTTTCAATTTTACCTTAACTCTATAGCCCGAGTTATTTCTGCAGAATGCATCGGCCCAAAAAGAGAGTTCAATGAACAAGACATTACATCACTCGCCTTCCCCCCATTTCCCCAGTGACACAGGAATATTTTAGGCGTACGAACTGTGGCGTACTTCCACATTAAGTGCTTGTCGCTACGATGAGCCATCATCAATCCAAGGGATCTCATGTGTCTGACACTTCCATCACTCCCTGAAGAGAGAACACCGCTGGGAGTTTTTAAATGCTTACATTAATAATATAACCAAACTTTACCAGGTGACTTACTGTATATTACTAAAATAGTATAATAACCAGCATAAAGTGTAAATGCTAATATAAATAAAATACTAATTTTAGCTATTCCTTTAATTTTATATACTTAATAAAATTCTTATAACTTAATGTTTTTATTAAATATAGTATACTAATAGTATATTACTATATAATAAGGTTAGTGATATAATAATACTGTAATAATAAACTTTATATATAATACAAATGGTGTGAACTAAAGCCTAATTATCTGTTAATTTAATTTTAGTTAACACAATACCACACCATTACTAAAGCTATGTTTTCAGAGGCAACTAATAGGTAGGCTACCCCCTCTGGGAAATTTAGGCGCCTAGAGGTATATATATACCATACTTCACCTTGTTTACTTTTATACTGCATAATGTAATTTAATAATGTAAGCTGAGGTACTGTTATATATAGTAATGTACTATTATTTAAAGTAGATTTGCCCATCGATTTCCGGCGTTCTGGACCTCTGCTTTATACCCTTCGCTATTCGTCTCAGGATACCAATCCTTCAACCTACGAAATGTCTGAACGCTATAATAATGGTGACTTCACCAGTGAGATGTGCGTCGGCTGCACAGCGCATCACTGGGCTGTCGCCTCACGAGCTTTGGTTTGCATTTTAACCATAGGACTTTCCGAGCTACTCAGAGGTAAAGATGGATGGTGCGGGTTCTGGTTCTCTCCTGAAGGTGGCTCGAGGCCCGTGCTACCTAGACCACCTTACCAAAGCCAATTCCCTACTGAGCGAGAGTGGTCACCGAGAATGACACATATGGAAAATGATCCCCGGCATAGAGCTTTCTCATATCCGATCCCAACTTACAACCAGGGAGAGCTAGACCGTGAAATCTGTGGCTCTTTTCCGCAACCGCAGAGTCCTGCTACAGGAGCCTTTCCGCTACCCCAGAGTCCTGCTGCAGGCTCCTTTACGCAGGCGCAGAGTCTTGCTTCGGGAGAGCAATTTGGCAGCCCTCCCCCGGTTAGCCCGATTGCACAGTAACTAGCCCTTCAGCTACAGTAAGTGAGCTTCTGTGCCTACTAGTTTTCGCGATATATTGTAACGACGCGCAAGAGCAGGGCTCTAACGATACAAGCTGCAGATCCAACGATGTCAAGTCTCTGGCTTCGGAAGGTGAATCTGAATCGTCTCTTCCCCCTCTGGGATTGACGTCTTGCCGCCGTTCTCGTCGCAAGGCCCCATATACGTATGAACTGGTACGAGACAAGGACAGCGATGCAGACAGTTGTTACGACCCAAGATGGGGACGGTATGAAGACGGAACATCACTCATTTCCCACTTCCCTGTCCAGATAGCTCTCTAGCTTTTAATATAACTTGATTACTTAAGAATACGTCTTGACATTATTGGGCCTGATTCGCCACCCTACGCTTAGTACCACGCCCTGTTGTAACTGCCAACATAAACCAATTAGGTTATGGTTTTCTATAGGATCTCGAGAAATTCGGACGCTCTAGCGCCGGACTAAGGCCCTTGGCGTTCCACTTTTCCGATGATCACTTCTACGTAATTCAGGTCTATTACAACGATAACTCGAAGGGGCTTGTGGGACGACTGGTGGTTGCGGAGGAGGCGGATATTGGTTTTGTCTCTTCTTGGAGCTTACCTTAACTCTGCAAATAGCCTCTTCTGGTATAGAAGCCATATTTTTAGAATTTGCCAGTCTGCCGTTTTTTGCTAGCTAGCCTTGCATAAAGTTAATAGAATTATAAGCTATAAGAGACTAAAGAGACTAATAAATATTATAATACTTTCTTAAAACGGCAATTATAAGCATAGTAAGGGTAATATTAAATTAATTTTACTTTAGTATATACCTCTTATTTATAATAATTATAATTCCTAAAGGATAAATTAATTTTAAAAGTTAAATAAGAAGAAATAAAAAAATAAAAAAATATTAATATATATAATAAGTAAGTATAATATATAAGTAAGTATTTTTTTTTTTTTTTAAGTTTATAAGTTAGCCTTAAAAGGTATATCTAAGTATTTCTAAAGTCTAATATAATTTAAATATTAATTACCTCTTAGGAGGTAAAGCTTTATTAAGTTAATATTATTATAATTAGCTGCCTTAATTATAGCCTAAACCTAGTTATATATAAGCCAGCTAAAAAGCCTTACTTTTTAGCTAGCCTTAATCTTCTTTTTATAACCTACTTTAAAGGCATACTTTAATAATCTAATATATAATAAGTTATTTAATTTAACTTCTAATTATAGTTACTAATAGTATTATAATTATATTATTATTATTATTTTTTTTTTTAAGTTTATAAGTTAGTCTTAAAAGGTATATCTAAGCATCTCTAGAGTCTAATATAGTTTAAATATTTATTGCCCTTATAGCTAGTAAAGCTTTATTAAGTTAAATTATTATAATTAGCTGCCTTAATTATAGCCTAAACCTAGCTATATATATACTAGCTAAAAAGCCTTATCTACTTATTAGCTGGCCCTAACCTTCTTCCTATAACCTACCTAAAAGGATACTATGCTTTAATTATCTATTATATAGTAAGTTATTTAACCTGACCTAACTTTCCCTCTTCTGGCCGCAACTACTAATAGCATTATAGCTGCCCTATTATAATACCTACTATTTAAAAAAGCCTGTAGGCACTTAGGCCTAATAAGCCTTATTTAACTAAAGGCTATAATATAATCCTTAAGATTAAAGAAGCTCTTAGGCAAAATAAAGGTAAGGGTAATATACTATATATAATAACTATAAATATTAGAAAGGCTTAGTTTAATAAGAATAATACTAGCTATATTAAAATAATAATCTTTAATTATAAGATCCTCTTACTTATATAGTCTATTTATAAGAACCCTTTAATTAATAAAGATATTTTTAAATATAAGAAGTAAAAGCTTAAGGATTTAGAAAGGAAGCTATATAGAGGGGTATAGTTAAGTAGGAGGGAGAGGGGGTTCCTTAAGGCCCTTAACCTGGGCGGCTTATATAATAAGTAGCTTAAGGATATCTAGTAGCAGGCTAAGGAGGTACTAAAGAAGACCGAGAACCTGTAAAGATAGGGGGATATTATACTGCGATGTCTGGGATAGAAGCAGGGTAATTGCAGGGTTTAGAGGAAAAATATATTAAGTTTTATATAAGTTTAGTTGCCTAAAGTTAAAGACCTAAAGTTATAAATTTAGCATTGGCAGCAAAAAGAGGATTAAATAAGTTATAAAATAGATTATATAATTAAATAAGCAAATTAGCTATAATATTAATGCACTATTAATATAAATAGGGGAATTATATTATTATAATACTTATTTAAAGAAGCTTAGTTATTTAAAAATAATAAGGCTTATTTAATAAAATACTATAATATAATTTATAAGATTAAATAAATTATTAAGATAATTATAATAAGCTTTATAATATAATAATAAAAATTAAAAGAAATTAAAAAAAAAAAAAAGATTTCTAATTATATTAAATTAATACTTTCTAATTATAAGATCTTTTTACTTATATAATCTTATTATAAGCTAATTAATAAAGACTTCTTTAATCTTAAAATAAAGGAACTTAATAAGCTTAAAGGGAAGTTATTTAAAGAGATAAATTTAAGCTAAAGGGAGAGGGAATTTATTAAGGCCTTTTATAGCAGCTTATATAATAAGTAGCTTAAGGCTATTAAAAAGTAGGCTAAAAGGGTATTAAAGTTAATTAAATAACTATAATATAATATCTACTTTTTAAGGATAGTTAATAGAGGAAATAAAGGAAGAGAATAAATATATAAATAAAAAAGAGGTAATTATAAGGTTTAAAAGGAAAATATATTAGGTTTTATATAAATTTAATTACTTAAAGTTAAAGATTATTAGTATTAATAATATAAATAAGGTTAAATAAATTATAAAATATAATATATAATAGATTTAATAAGTTAGCTAAATATTAATATATTATTAATATAAACAGGGGATATAAGTAAGTATAATACTTTTCTTATATTATTTATATAATAGGATTAGTTTTAAATAGGTAAACTAGTCTATATTAGGTTTAATAGTTATAGAGTTATAAGGCATTAAACTAAGTAGTTATAAAGTCTTATATCTCTTAATAGTAAATAGGGCAGGTTAGGCATATTTAGGTAAAGAAGTTTTATTAATAACTAGTAAGCTAAGTTTTATTTACTGCTAAATAAATATATATATATAATATAATAGCTTATAGTATTATAAGTTAGGCTTATAATAAGTTATAAGTTAATATTATAAGCTATATTATAAGGCTTATAAGTATTATAGTGTTTTATTTATAAGTTATTATATAATTAGCAGGATTATTAGTAAGTTATATATAAGCACTTCCCCTTATTAAGTTATAATATAATCTCCCTCCCTTTATTAGTTTTATCCTTAAGACCTATATATCTGCCCTTCTTTCCTTATTATCTTAATATATACTAACTTAGACTTATAATTATTTATATAAGTTATTAATACTATATTAATATCTAAAGCTACTTATAACTATTAAGTATAAGCTATTTTAATTAAAAATACTAGTTTTCTTATTATATTATATAATTACTATAAACCCTAGGGTTTAAAGTATTAGGCTAAGGAAGGCTACTTTAAGTATATATAGTATACTTATTATAGTTATTAATATAATAGTAAGGGTATTTTAATTCTTAAAGGTTTATTATTTTTCTATCTTTCTTTTATATATTAAGTCTAATTTTTTTATAGCTAATTATTTTATTATAAAAAAATATTATTTAAAATATAAAAAGGAAGTAGTTAAAACTAAATTATTATAATTATAATAATAAGTAAATAAGTATTTAAGTTATTTAATATATCTTTATTATTAAAAGTAATAGTTATAAGAATATAATAATAAAATACTTTATTATAATATTAAGAATATAAATAATCTTAAGGTTTTAAATAATATAAAGTCTTTTATTACTATTAAGGCTTAATTATTAAAAGCTATTAATATTATTAATTAAAGTAAGGTTTTCTTTATTAATATTAATAAAAATTCCTTAAGAATTATTAGGTATTAATAAGGTATTTAACTAGTTCTTATATATTTTTATTTTTTAAGGAGTTTTTCTATTTAACTAAATATTCTTTCTTATTATTTTCCTTATATATTTTCCTAATTGCCTTTACTTTATAGGTCTCTAGTCCTTTAATTTCCTCTAATTTATTATTAATTTTAATCTATCTTATATTAACTATTAATTTAAGTAGTAAAATATAAAAGATTAAGTAAAGCCTGACTTTTAGTAGTAAGTTTAGTTTATAGTTATTATTTAAGATTTTTCTTTTAATTTTATATAGCCTAATATACTTATAGTCTAACTTATAATTAGGTTATTTTATTATAATATTTTTTATAGCTAAGTATATTATATTTCCCTTTAAAAAGATTAATTTCTTAATCCTTTTAATATTATAATACTTTTTTATTTATTTTTTAATAAATTTAAGTTTTTTTTTAAGTTCTTTATATAAGGCTTTTAAATCCTTACTTTTAATTATAGCAGCTAGGTTAACTGCTTTTAGTTCTTATATTATATAATATAAATTTAAGTTAAATTTAAAATTAGCTATTAATAATATTATTTTAATGCTTTTATTATATATTATATTATAGGCAAGTTAGGCACTTAATAGCTTTTCTACCTAATTATTTTATTTATAATTAATATAGTATTATAGGTATTATTCTAATACTTAATTTATTTATTTAATTTGCCTATTTATTTATAATCTAAATGCTATTAAGAGTTAGTAATTTAGTCCTATATTATTTAATAATATTTCTTATTATTTTTTTAATTCCTTTTTAATTATAATTTATTTAGATATATTTTAGGGTTTTTATAATACCCTAGTAGCTATATAAGGGGTATTTATATATATCTTATATTAATTCTTTTTTATATTATTTAAGTACTTATAGTTTATTATTATAAGTAGGTATTTCTGCTTTACTTTTAATAA